CCTTGCCTTAAAGAACAATACGATGCATTCATGGATGAATATTTGAAATTAGGGCACATGAAAAAAGTATCATTTCAAAATCTTCATGAAGGCAAAAACTACATACCACACCAAGCAGTATTTAGAATAGACAGTACAACCACAAAACTACGACTGGTTTTTGATGCTTCCAGTAAATCAACATCCAATGATCCCAAATATGATGCTTACTGGTTCAAGACTCCAACAGAACTTATCTGAAATCCTGCTAAGATGGAGGCAGCATAAGGTAGTTATTACAGCCTATATAGAAAAAATGTATCGACGATAAAAATCAACCTTACCAGAGAATTTTATGGCGATCTGACAGCAAACACCGAATGATTGAATACGTGCTAACCACTGTCACATATGGAACAGCATCTGCACCATACCTAGCCATTAATGGACTTCACAAACATAAGCAAAATCTGAAGAAACGAAGTATCCTATTGCAAGCAAAATCACCTTACGAGACTTTTACGTAGATGATGTCCTGTCAGGTGCCAATGACCTAGAATCGGCAATAGAAATTCAACAGCAGTTACTCAATATGATGCAATCTGCTGGTTTTAATCTGAGAAAATGGACCAGTAACAATCCAGCCCTGCTTCAAGCCCTTCCCAAATCGCAACAAAACCAAACCGTCTAAGAATTATCCGAAGATGACATCAAAAAATCACTTGGTGTATTTTGGTCGCCTTATGATGACTGCTTCATGTTTAAAGTTACCACATCACCAGAGAGTCTAATAACAAAAAGGCACATCCTATCAGAGATATCAAAAATTTTCGATCCTTTGGGATGGTTATCACCTAATAGTCATCAAATCAAAAGTACTAATACAAGACTTATGGCTAGAAATATTAGGATGGGATGGGAGAAAATAAGGTGAATTAGCAGACAGATGGAACACCTTTAGAAAGGACATAAATAAAATCGAAGATATCAGTATTCCAAGCTGGATGCAATTCAGCCAAGGAAACCTAATTCAACTTCACGGATTCTGCGACGCCTCTGAAAAGGCCTGTGGAACATAGCTGTCACACTTCTCTGGGCAAAATCAAAAGTATCCCCAGTGAAAGTAGTGAAACCAAGAACAACGCTACCGAGACTTAATAGCGGAAATGATAAATCAAACTATTTCGACACTAGAGATAGAAAATATAGAAACTTTCGCATGGAGTGACTCCATGATAACATTAGGCTGGATAAAAGACCAGCCCAATCGATGGAAAACATTTGTTGCCAATCGCGTGAGTGATATAAATAGATACGTAGACGGCAGTCACCGGAACCACGTAAGAACATCCGAAAATCCAGCAGATGTTATATCCAGAGGGTCCAATCCAGAACAATTAGCAAACAATCTCCTGTGGTGGAATGGACCAGCATAGCTTCATAGTCATGAACCACTACCATTAGCTAAAGAAATACCCGAAACGGACCAAGAAGCTAAGAAAACCATAAAATGTTTCCAGGTTAAAATACAAATCACAGAAAACATAATCGAACTATTCTCAGACTTAACCAGAATGATAAGAATATTAAGCTATACTGTCGAAAAGTCTTCCACAGGTCCAACAAACCAATATATTATCTGTCGAAGAAATAAGAAAAACCTTCCAGAAGTTATCAAAGTGATCCACAACTGCGAATTTCCATCTGAGGTATCGTCCATTAACACAAGGAAAAACGTGGCAAATATACAACCTAAGCCCTTTTATTGACGGGGAACAAATCCTACGAGTTGGCGGAAGATTACAAAATTCAGAGTTACCAGCAAAAACTTCAAAACAGTAAATGGGCCAATTACCTGCCACAGAGTCACACCATCCCCACCGTTCATAATAGTGGAGTAGACTATGCCAGCCCCATCAAAATTAGAGCTACTAAAGAAAGAGGTCAAAAGTCATATAAAGGCTATATCTCAGTTTTTGTATGTCTTTCCACTAAGGCAATACACCTAGAAGTGGTAACCGGATATGACGACCGATTCGTTCTTAGCAGCCCTCCAGAGATTTACTGCGAGAAGAGGTCACTGCGAAAATATATACAGTGATAAGTTCAAATTAACTCAACACCAATCCCTGCAAAATACCATGGTAAACTCTGGCACTAACTGGCACTTCATCACACCGGCGGCACCTCATTTTGGTGGACTGTGGGAAGCTGGAGTCAAGTCAATGAAGCATCACCTCAAACGAGTAATTGGAGAAGCAACCCTCACGTATGAAGAACTGACAACTTTGTCACACCAAATCGAAGTAAACCTCAATTCTAGGCCGGTATGGCCACTCTCTGGAGAAGTAGATGACTATTTTGTCCTAACTCCTGGTCATTTTTTAACTGGAAGGGGAATATTATCTCCAATTGACCCAACAGCAAGTAACATAAATTCCAGTTTGTCAGAGAAATGGAGGCTTACCCAAAAAATAAAAAAGGACTTCTGGAAAGTTTGAAGCACAGAATTTTAGGAAGATTGCAACAACAATATAAATGGCAAAATCAGGAAACCAACCTTAAGAAAGGAACCATGGTAATTATAAAAGAAAATACAATAAATCCCAGCCAATGGCCCTTAGCACACGTAACAGATGTTCATCCTGGAAGAGATGGCGTAGTAAGAGTAGTCACACTCAAGAAAGAAGACAGAGCTACATTGAAACGACCGATAGATCCATTGATCCCACTTCCATTAGAAGAAATAGGAAAGGAAGCACTGACCAATCCCACTCAGGTTACAGCAAATATGGCCATAACCTCAAGCAGTGACAATGTGAAATGCACTGTGAAGAAGCATATGAAAACCGAGAAATCAAAAGTATCTCATTTTCAAATCATTCAACTATTTATGTTATGGTTCAGTTTGATGTTTCTCCCAAAGTGTCAAAGCAGCTATGTTATAAAATATCCCGAAGGAGGTATTTACATAGAACATTTTGGAATGGCACAAATAAATAGAGGAATATTTAAAACAGAAGAAAAATCAAGGAAGACATCCAGAATGTAACTAGCGTCGTAACCAATTTTCAGATGCTGTGTGACAAGACAAGACAACTATCGGAACAAACGCACTGTGAAATATTGGACCATCATCTAAAAGAGCAACAACAACGTTTTAGCTGGATATTTAAGACCCTCCAAGAAATACATCTTCGTCCAAAAAGAGGTTTACTGGGAAAATTTCTGACGTCCGTTTTTGGCGTCAACGATGAGGTCTACAAGGATATAAATAATATAAACAAAAATTCAGAAATGTTGATAAAAGCTTCCAATCACCAGATACAATTCATGATCTTCGCACTATCAACATTCAATTCTAATGAAGAAAAAATAAATAATCAACTTCGCAGATTCCAAACAAGGCTTAATCAAGGATTAGAAGCAATTGAATCTGTGAACAAATAGTTTTCAAGTATAGACATTAACAGCCTAAATATTCATATCCTAAGCACTTATTCAATAGCAACTAGCTATATTGCACAAATAAGTTCATACTACGAGAATATGATAAATATCCAGTTTAACAGGGGAACAATCTACGACATCATATCTCCAACTTATCTTCATACTCTGATAACGGATATCAAAAGAAAATTACTGAACAACTTGAAAGCCTTATCTACGCCTGTGATAAAAATGTCCTTATGTCAGAATAGCACTTTCAAGTATTTGGCTATTTTCCAATAATAGAAATACATATCACAGTTTGATGTTATAAAAGCAACCCCATTTTCAGTATGAATATCCAACAACTCCTACTGTCCATTAGATATATCGAACGATTATGGCCATGGATTATAACTCTCAGCATTACTTTCAACTCCATAAAGAAGAATTCGAACGATGTTTGAAATTGAAACATCACACGTTTCTCTGTTCTCCAAATGTTATAAGAAACATTAATATAACGACGGCAACTGTATTATTGATGAAATATACCATAAACCTTAAGCCAAGAAATGCAAAACTTTCACAAATTCAGTGCAGGCTACGATATGAAAACAAATCGTCACGCCAAATACATGGTTATCTATTACAAATGGATCAGCCAATATAGCTACTATTTGTGTTGTGGTGGAGTCCGGGAAGATGTTGCCATTATTGCAACAGGAATTCTCAGCCTGGCTTCCGACTGTATCATAGAAACCAAACAGCTAACACTAACAGCAATACAAGTGGAGCATAGCAGTTTAACAAGCTATTCCAAAGCTGTCTCACTCGATAGACACGACAAACCCACACATATTCAACATTAACAGTTTCAGCCAGCATCTGAGTCAGTAATTGGGCACTCAGATGATTTAAACGCACTGATGACAGAATAGAAGTCAATTCAGATTGAACTTCAAAACCATATATGGATAAATATACGACATCATTCTAGCATAGTTGGAGTGATGCATCAAATATCTAAGACTTCGAACAAGAGAGAAAAGGACCACCAAACTTGAAGAATATGAACTACAATCCCTGAAGGAGACAAATTGAGAGGTGGCAGAATGACCATTTATCCAAATTGGAATATTTATTTTATATGTTTCTACCACACTGTAGGTACATATTAGAATTAATTAATTATAAGCAACCTACTTTATTATTGCAAATGATGATCATTGGTATTTGCAAAATCAGCATTTATTGTATGTAAAAGGCGATCAATAAAATGAGATTCAAACTTATTGTTGTTTCTCTTACTTAGAATGTGCCCAAGTCACCATTGGCCTAGCAACGCTAGTAGAGTCGTGCGACGGCGCTCTAACAATTACTATTGCTTTAGCCTTATTGTAGCAGGTGCTCTATGTGGTTACATTCTGCTCTTCCTTAAACCTGTAGCAGGTGCCTTGCCTGGTTACAGGTTTTTAACCCTTATAGCAAGTGCTTTGTCTGGCTGGGGTCTTCTCTCTACTCTCTCACGCCCTAATGCAAGTGCCGTGACTTTAAGTCCTGTCTGGTACTAAGGCCCTTCTGCGCTTCTATCCTAAACCATCAGGATCAAGCAGAAAATACCATCCAGAGAACCAGAGTCTCCTGGAGCGTACAGAGCCCATTGAAATATAAATTACATGTCTCTAAATTTTAACAAGCACTGTAAGTTACCTATCCTTCCATATTCGGCGGGTCAACCCGCCAGGTAAAACTGATTTTTCGCGAGTTTTTCGTTTTGACCACATGGCAAAGTGTATGAACACAAATTTACACTGCTAAATCTTGTTATTTTATAGTTTCAATATGCAAGTTTCGATCTCACCCTCTTAAATTTTATTTTATAATAAAAAAATATATATTTAAACTTTTTACCCTATTTCTTAGAACTTGTGTAAACTGTATAATACAATATTGACATCAATAAGTTATCTCTCAGTCTATCTATTCTAGAGGACATACATGGGAGAGAATAAAGATCATTGTTTGAAATAAGTTTCAGAACATGTTCTCATATGTTGTTGAAAAAAAATTGGGATTTCATCATTCAATTTTAAGACCTATACTAGAAATCTGTCACAATGAAGCTGGTCTTCCATTGTACATCTATATTGGAATGATCGATATATTGATACACTAATGAGAACTAAATAATGTATTCAAAAAAAATTAACAAAAATATCACATCGTTATGGAAACCTAAAAAAAAATATCAACACAATGGCACAATTTAACATTATTCTACATCTAAAGTATGAGGTAAGTCAATTGCAAAGGACTGCTCTTAAAATTTGCTATACGCTACCAATATGAGGCACATATTTCATATATCAACTATATAATAAAATATTATTTATAAAAATGCATCTATAGGAATGATTATTCTATTGAAAATTGATATTTTAACATATTCACAGGGGACTGTTGCATGACTTTTACGCAATGTTACTTTAAATGTTAGGAATTTGGTATGTCACTGTAAAATATAAAGAAGACTTTATACACCTCTACTTTTTGTACAAATTGCTTATCATTTTCTACCATATCGACTATTTATGGAAGCATACCTTTGCATTACTTAATTTTAGATTTATTCAAACTTAATCACTGGTCCTGAAGCGCTTTTCGTAACTGGTCTGCTAGCTGTTCTTTGAAATCGTCTTGAGAGGAGTCAGTAGTATTTGCTATGTATTCTGAAAGCATTATGTAAACTCCGACACACAACCCCACAACTGCCGCAATCGTCAAATTTTTTTGTAGAATTATGCATGTACATAAACAAAGACCAAAATAGGTTAGGTATCTTGTCAAAGAAGCATAACTAGTTCTCGCTTCCTGCTTTGTATCTGCAAATAAAAAACAGTTTTAAATAAAAATTATTATAGTTTTTCATCAGGCAAAAATGTATCAGAAATGTTACTGGCAAATTTTTTTCTATGATCAGCTAGAGAAAACCACTCCTTAGAGAGTATGCTCGCCAAGTAGTCGTCAGCAATATATTCCCCTATGGGTACAAAGGTTGGTGTACATACTGATAAGTTGTTACAATTTTTTCAAACAGCAGGAACCAACAATCAGACAATGCTTTAGGTATTACTGAGTTGGTTTGCTGATTTTTGCTGGTACTCTAATTTTCCAGTTAATTTTTTATTTTGAAAAAAAAAAAAAAAAGTCGCGTGCAGCACAGTACACGTGATAGAAGTGAATACTTAATTATCGATTTGTTGAGGGTGAGTGAGTGAGTGAGAGAGAGAGAGAGAGATGTATTGTACATATTACATTAATGCGTTAAGAACAATACTCTCTTTCATTCATCATCTCTATCTCTCTCTCTCTCCCTCATATTCATCATATGCTTCATCTCACTTGCGAGACGAAAATTTTATAAACCGTGTCGTGACGCGACCTTGAAAAATCACTCTCATGCGGCCAAAGAAGTATTCACTTCAAAAAAATCCAGACGAAACTTTTTCAAGCCTGAACAGTATATCTTCAACTCAAAAAAAAAACTGATCGAAATAACTGGAGTATAACTTAAGAACTGAGAAAGGACTGAAAAATAGTCCTAGTTTGGCTTTTTGAAAATAAGAGGCCATATTGTATGATAGATAGAAGATTGGCGATGATAAAGCTCAGTTATTCGTGCAACCTTATATCAATTGTGTTAATTTCCCAGAAGCTGGGCAAAATATCATCACTAATGTAAACGGAAAATTACCAAGGGACAAATTCTCACGCCAAATCCCATTTTCAATGATTTAATAATTATAATGCATATTGCTTTCCATATTTTTGAATATTGTTGGCCAAAAGACCTTTCAAAGCAGCTATGTGCTGAGAGCTGGTTTTCTTAAGATTTTCGGAAAACCTTTAACAAATCCGTATACTAATTGGTAGAAAAATAACATTATAAATATTTCTCAGATAATTATTAACAAATTATTGTTGGAAAACTTACTTATGCACATATTATCCTTCCTCCTGTATCCAGCAACACAACTTATACATTCATCTGGTCCATCACCGGTACATCCAAGACATGATTCATGACACTCCAAACATTCATAACCTCCTTCAGTGTTGATACAAAATTGTTTATTTGTACAAGGAGATTTCCCCATCAAACATTCATTTATATCATAACAGCCTCTATCTTGCTTCTGCAAATAACCTTCTTTGCAAATTTCACAACCTGCAGGACCTTCTTTGGAACATTTTCCAACACAAGACTTATGACATTTGGAGCAGAGAATTTTCTTCTCATCTCTGTAAGACTCGTAGTATCCATCAGTACAACTATCACAGAAATCGCCTGAATAACCAGCATCACAAAGGCACTTTCCATTTCCTTTACGTGTACCAGATCCTTTGCATTTTCCATTGTTATAGCAAATATTATCTGGATATCCTTCACATGGAGTACAATTTTTGCCAAAGTGAAACTCAGGGCAACAAATTTCAAATTTGTTAATACATAGGTATTTATGAAGATCTGGCTCATCTTTTTGCTTTTTAAACCACCATGTTTCAAGAGCCTAAAAATAGTATCCAATTATTAAATCAATGCAATATCTCAGGTTTTTTTTTTTTTCATGACTTCTCCACTGACTATTTACTTTTCCCAAACAGAAAAATACCAGGACACAATTGTCTTTTACTACATAAAAATTGATTTCTCATAGTATAAATGAAATTTTAGAAAAAATAAAATACAAAACAATATAATTTAAACAAAATAAATTTAAAATTTCCAATAATGATAACCCTGCATCTTCGGAGTAAAACTATGTAATTATTCACCATCCATATCTTTTAATTAATTCTTCTCGAACAATATATTCTGTGCCACACTCTAGAAAAAGGTTTTAAAATGTGTGTCTTTAGAAAATAGATTGATTGGATATCTCATGAGTAAATCAGATAGGGCAAGACCTTGAATTCTTTTTAGCTTCATAAAAAAAGATACTTAGTTGAAATTTCTCAGCCGCATATCAGGAAATATAAAATTTCTAACCCATCAAAGAATAGTTTATTGCGAGGTTTATTGACTGCTCGATTGACTGTTTGTACGGGGAGAATTATTCAGTTTATCATTTTGAATGGGATTTTGAATTATTTCCAATAGGCATTTCTGAAATAGCAATTGCTGAACAGTTACCTCAAGGGGAAACGAATCAAGCGGTTTTAATTGAATTTAAGCCAAAAAATAAATAGAAAATTCCTATCAATTAAGTAAGTAGGTAAGTAGTAAGTACCTACTTCCAATTTTTTGAAATTTTGGTGCTGTTTCTATTTCAATGGACTTTTTATCAAATACATCATCATCATAGTAAATTTAATAAGGGAACATTGAACAAAAAATAACAAAAAGCTAAAAAAACCTAATAAGTATGTAGTTTTTTTTTTGCAGAATTAGTTTATGTGGGTGAACCACAATGTCAAGAATTTTTTCTCAATATCTATTAGGTAAAAGTAGGTTAAAACTTATTTACTTCATAACTTATCAACTATAAAATACCTAAATCACCTAAAAATAATAACCCTCATAGCTCTGAATATGATGCCTACTCGAATATCTAGTGGCTTTAACTATTTATCATTCTGACTCAAAAATCCCACCATTGTTGTTTGTAGCCTGATGACACAAATTGTATTGAAACCAAAGGCTTTGATAGAAGGTTTAATGAACACAGTCCCGAGCACGATCCAAAGAAGTTGTTACCTTTAAAACCTTTTTGGTATGACCTAGCATTTGTTACAATGTATAGACCTTATAATTACTTATGTTATTGGTCTATATGTATGGTACAGAGCTTAATATAAAGCATATTAATAAATAATATGGTGGTATCACACTGTAATAAATATTTACCAAACAGATGAAGGGAAATTATCATTATTTGTAGTTCCTACTTATTATAAACTAATAACAATTAGTGTTGTAACAAGCGAACTTTACCGAGCGAACGTTCGCATTATTACCGTAATTTACGGTAATGTTCGCTACTCTCTAAGCGAAAGTTCGCTCCTCTCTAAGCGAAAGTTCGCTGAAAATGCATTTCTAAACGTTACCTAATCGCTTGATTTGACAACAGTGAATCATGGACATGGACCCTGATTTCTGAATATTTTTATTACATATAATTTTTTTATTTCATAACTACTTGTGTTATTACTTCAGAAAGTTGTTTTTCAAATTCCTTTTTCTAGAGTTCCTATTTTTATTTTTAAATTTATTTTTTTATATTATTTTTTGTTTTGACTTGACACTTTATGTAGTTATGTTATGTAGGTATTTGCATTTAAAGATTTTTCAGTCTAATTTTTTGGTGCTACCACTACGACCTATATCTACGTTGTTTTTTAGTTTGTTTTTCATTACACCAACTTACAAGAAACAAGACTTGTATTAGTTTTATAAATATTATCATTTTCTTTACAATAAATTGATAATACATAGACAAGGGTTATATCTACATTTATGGAAAATTCACCTACCCCTACCAGAGAAAAGAAAAATAGGGTGTGAAACCTTATTATTAATAGACATTTTTACAAGCCCTACATCAAAAAGCCGAATTTATAGGTGCTTTTGCAACATCCTCCAATATTCTCATAAATTCTCGAAAATTCTCAAACATTCCCGAAAGTTCGGTAACGTTCGAAAATTACCGAGAATTTTACAACACTAATAACAATGACCAAGTACATAAATTGAGGATCCGATCTACTCTAGTGGATAGTAGGGGACTCGGAAGACGAGCTCAAATTGATGCATCTGCTATTATCGTAGATGGATAAATCATTTAGTATGGAGTTTAGTATGGACCATAGAACGTTCCATCTCGCGTTCCATCTGATTGGGAAATTGGAAATGGAGTTTAAATAAATCCTTGGAAAATCCTTAGATTTTAAAGAAACACAAAATGCTTCAAAAAAAATCCAAGGCATTACTTTACTATCGAGTTTACTATTTATTGTTTTTTTTTTATAGCCATTATGATTATAAGAAAATGAGGGGAAAAACTAGGACTCGAACTAGGACCAATATGTGTTATTATTTTGTACGCTATCTAATAGCGTGAATAAATGGCAATTATTGGCATTGTGCTAGTGATATTAAACAACAAATGTTTTTCCAAATCTGTACTTTTCCATTTGTCTATTTATCGCAAAAATTTCAAACCAAAAAAACAACAGGAGTGACTGAGGGATTGACTTGAGATTTCGCCATTCAAAAAAAACTTTAGTCATAATCTTCCACATCAACAACATTACAATTGGATGCAGATGCATTGGATAGAAAAGCCATATAGATCTGATGATCTGATTAACCCAATCAGATTTTTATTGATGATCTGTACTGAAGTATTAAAATTAGATGCAATACAGTAGTGTCGCGATAATCCGATCCCGCGATAATCCGTATGCTTCTGTAATCCGCATCGCATTTTCGTTCCCTTGATGTACTCTGTAATTTGGATTTCAGTTGATTCAGTAATCCGAATTCATTTATATGACTCTTGAAAATAAAAGCACAGGTTTCCACTTCTCGTTTTGTAACTGTGTTCAAGTGGATAGGTAGTTTTTACTTAAAAGCGGTGCAGAAAAATGTAGAAGAAGGTGGACAAAATTCAAATGGTGAAAATAATGTAAACGAAAGTTGGAACAATATTGACTAGTTATTTTTACACTTATGTACCATCGTCACCAAAAGTAACTGGGCAAAAATAATTCATATTAACCTCCTGGACTATTCCTAATTAACCTAGATAAACCTAAAATTATTCAGAGTTTGACAAATACCTGACATTTAAAATCATATAATAGTACAAGAGCTAATATGATGCTATCCCAGTTACTTTTGGTGACGATGGTACATACTTACTTACATATTTCGCACTAGAATCATTTCTTTCATTTGTCTTATTTTTCAAATAAATATAAAGCTTTTTTGCTTAATAAATACAGCATTTAATTTTTCCAAAATAGTTTTAAAAGCGGACTGTAAAATGCCTTAGTAATCCGAATAATTTGATAATCCGGATTGGTCTGGTTTTAATTGATCCGGATTATCGCGACACTACTGTAACACAAAAATGTGGTTTTTCTCTAATCTGTTAAAGATTTTGTTCTGGTTCCGGCTAGAAGCCATGAAGCCATGAAACAAGCCCTCAATGAAGTTGCACAATTTAGTTTAATTTGTAATTTAGGCAGCAATATTGGTGAATATTATTTGTCTATTTGGCCATATTGAAAGGGTTCCAAAACTGGTTCTCATTGAAACGAAAACAAAGCCCGAGACAAAGCCATACATAGAAAAAAACAAAAATATTTGTCAACATTTTTGTAGAAGGTATTTTTTGCTTCTCTACCATACTTTATACCTTCAAGTAGGTATTAATATCAATTTGATTTTCACAGTAGGTAGCTATACATTTATAGAGCAACTAGATTTTTTTGATTTAAATAATGTAATTACATTGTGCCAAGGTTATGGTATGTTTTTCACGAGGGTTCTCAATTACCTCATCATATTCCTCAAGCAGCTGGTAACATTGATCCTTTCCTTCATTAAGCTCTGAGCACAATTTCTCATGAATTTCCACAAATCTTACTTCACTGTTTGCATAACTTCCCAAATTTTTCTCTTCCCATGCTGTGTCTCCTCCTTCATATTTGAATTTGGATGTTCTATCAAATCCCTGGAATTATTCTGATTTAGATATTGTTATTTGCAAAAAAAAGCTAACGATAATTGAATTACTTAGGTAGGTACTTACCTTCTGGAAGGAATCAACAAATATTTTGCAAGCTCTACAAGGTGGAAGTTTCAATTTATCAGCCTTATCTTTCTTAAGTTTTTCATCAGTTTTTGTTACTTGGAAGGTTCCAAATGCGTTTTGGGACAGCATAAATATAACTAATCCAATATAATATAATATCTGCATTATCGAGCTTATATTGTATACTGTATAGGTACCTAAAATGATTAATTTTAATTTGTTGGGCAATTCAGCTTTCCGCTCGACTTCTTGTCTATAATTATCAGGGTACCTACAACTAGGTACCTACCTCTTGTAGGTATGCTAGATAATATCTATCACATTCAGTAACATTACCTAAAACTCTCGCTAATACTCCTTCCTTAGCTGTGGTTGTATTAATTTAGGTACCTTCAACAACACAACCTTAATTGATTAAGTAAAGTTAGCAATTTTTTTTAAATGAAATTCCACTTAAATTTCGAAAGTACTTCAATAATTGATTTCTTTATTAAAAATTTGTGAGATAAAAATAAAAGAACAACTGGGTGCTGCTGAGGAAGGCTGAACACCACAGGTTGAGGTTAGGATCAGTCTTAAGGTGGGTTTACACATACACATATCATGACACACCACAGAAGACATAACAGAAGACACTAAAGGCGATTTTCAGCCTGGAATGATTATTATTTGGTTATAACCAATGCATTTCCGCCGTCGCGGTTTTAACCAAAGTAGGGGAACTTGTGACGTCACATATCAGCTGATTTGCTTTTGGTATTTACCATTTAAACCGATTATAACCCAGCTTTGGACTTGAGTTAATATTTTGGTTACAGCTTTTTGATGTTATTGTTATTATTTTTGGAATTTGTATTGGTGTTTTGTGATTTTGCAGTTGCGTTGTAGCCTGGCACAATAAAAGAAGTATACATTCACTCACTCACTGCAATTCACCATGTTTAGATCGAGGTTTAGATCATCCCCAAAGAAAATCTGTTCGATAAACGAGACTGACGAGAGATTCAGCTCCATTTTTTGTACCTGAACAAAAACCTGTTGCTGAAACGAAAAAACAAATAAGAATAATAAACATATTTCTACACTGCTATAACCAAATCATTTCAGCGATTAGTTCCTTGGGTTATGATTCTTGAATGGTGGGGGGCTATGACGTCACACTTGGCTGTCAAAGTTGTCAACCAAAAGAATAACCACGGTATTTACCGATAAATAATCATTCCAGGCTGAAAATCGCCTTAAAGAAAGTTAACTAAATGCGGCTAGATTTAAGATTAATCGTTTGCCGCACGAGTTATAATAATTTGGAGATGGAAACCCCTATGGAAACGGATTTCGTATAAAATAACATAACATAAGAAAATAAATAACTAACAGTTGGACAAATTTTTCTTTTATATCTGTGATCTACTCATGCTCCTTCTGAATTTGGCATCATAATGAAAGATTTTCCTAACTATTGTTCGCACAAGGCGAAAATAAAATGTTTAGTGCATTGGAAAAGGGAGAAGAACACTCCAACATACCTACAATCCTACAAATCACAACAAATTTTTTAGCAAATCTACTAGCTTCTTTGTCTGAATTTACTAAAAACCTACCGAAACTATTTTGAAAAATACCAAAAATCTACCCTTAATCCATAGGTTTGCTCTAACTCGTCAAAAACTCGTCCCAGAACGGTTCCGGAACCACTCTGTATACGAATTTCGGTTTTTACGCAAAAACTTCAGGTTTTGCGCAGAATCCTGAGTCCTGCCGGTAATATTACGGGTTCCTGCTGGGTTGGAACAAAGCTTATATCTCATATATTTTGTATACGTATGAAAAATGTAGCTACGTAATTTATTTAATAAGAAAGCTGGAAAATATCAGGGAGTTAAGAGTATATTTATACTATAGTCGTAGTCTATAGTAGTCATAGCGATTTTAATTTCTGATGAGAATGTATTTCCGTCTTGCTCTTTCCAGCGTCAATAAAAAAAAATGACAATATATTAGCGCCGTGCGGGTTCTACAGACCAGAAACCAGAAACGATATTTATATATATAAAACACAGTTGTGTTGGTTTTAACACTTATAATTCGAGAACGGCTGGAATGATTTTTATGATTTTTGCTTTATTGGATTCGTTTTTGTCCCTAATAACATAATAGTTGTATTCCTTTCAAGAGTTTGAAACACTCGAGCTACTCACTCCGGTGTTTAGTAGCCCCTGATTTGCAGGGAACAGATGCGTGTTGCAACAAACACTTTTCGAAAGGAATAAGCGCGTGAAGCCCCGGAGCTGTTCCGGAGCTCCTCCTAGGTGTGAAAGGAATACAAAAAATAAATCGAAAAAATCCAAAAAAAAAAACCAAAAAACAAAATTACTTATTTTACTTATTTATGAAAAAAATTCAGTTAGTCCATCTCTTATAACCGATACCAAGTTTACCGCCACATTTTCATTGCAAACTATTTTGTATACGGCGCCATCTCTGATACCTAGAACGAAGCTCGCCGTTGCGTGGTAATTTCATTGCAGATACAGTTGAACAATGCTGCTCAGAAACTGGAGCTATTCCGAACAGAACTATTCCACTATCCCGATCAGATAGAGTGGTGAAGAAAGAGTAGATCGGATAGAATAGTGCAGATAGAGTAGAACAGATGGAGTAGTGCAGTACATGCAATGCAGATAGAGTGAAACAGGGCTGCGCTGGAGATTTTTTTTGTTTTCTTTATAGTCGGGGAGCTGGCATCGAAAATATGCAAGAGTTTTCGCAAGGCTCATATTTTCAGAATGAGTAGCATTTTAGTACTACAAAGCTAGGCTACAGTCAGCAGTTCCAGTTCCGGGACACCTGGCGCTGAGATGCGCGCAAAGGTGTATTTTTAATCAACACCTCGCAACAGTTTTCGCAAAGCTGAAAATTTGCAAAGAACATGCGAATATAATGTAGAACCATAATTTAACAGTCAGACAAAGAAATACGGGGACACGTAGAGTCAGCGCGACTTTGAAGTGGTCAAAAAAATGACGTCACCGAAAGTGTTTTCGCATGGCTGAAATTTGGCAAGGTAATAGTAAAAACAATATATTTATTGAAAAAAAACAGTCAGACACTTCTATGTCGGGACCCCGTCAGTCAGCAGTCGATTAGAGTGATATAGGTGGTACCGCGTCATTAGGCATATATCCATGTCGAATAATAATTTCACCAAAAGAGTTTTCGCATAGCTGAAATTTGGCAAGGTAATAGTAAAAACAATATATTTATTGAAAAAAACAGTCAGACACTTCTATGTCGGGACCCCGCCAGTCAGCAGTCGATTAGAGTGATATAGGTGGTAGCGCGCGTCAATAGGCATATATCCATGTCGAATAATAATTTCACCAAAAGTGTTTTCGCATAGCTGAAATTTGGCAAGGTAATAGTAAAAACAAAATATTTATTGAAAAAAACAGTCAGAGACTTCTATGTCGGGACCCCGCCAGTCAGCAGTCGATTAAAGTGATATAGGTGGTAGCGCGCGTCAATAGGCATATATCCATGTCGAATAATAATTTCACCAAAAGTGTTTTCGCATAGCTGAAATTTGGCAAGGTAATAGTAAAAACAATATATTTATTGAAAAACACAGTCAGACACTTCTATGTCGGGACCCCGCCAGTCAGCAGTCGATTAGAGTGATATAGGTGGTACCGCGTCATTAGGCATATATCCATGTCGAATAATAATTTCACCAAAAGTGTTTTCGCATAGCTGAAATTTGGCAAGGTAATAGTAAAAACAATATATTTATTGAAAAAAACAGTCAGACACTTCTATGTCGGGACCCCGCCAGTCAGCAGTCGATTAGAGTGATATAGGTGGTAGCGCGCGTCAATAGGCATATATCCATGTCGAATAATAATTTCACCAAAAGTGTTTTCCATAGCTGAAATTTGGCAAGGTAATAGTAAAAACAATATATTTATTGAAAAAAACAGTCAGACACTTCTATGTCGGGACTCCCTCAGTCAGCAGTCGATTAAAATGATATAGGTGGTAGCGCGCGTCAATAGAATTTTACTCTATATATAATATCCATTTCGATGAATAATTTTATTTTTATAATTTAAATTATTTGGAATCGGAAACGGTAAAATAAAATTGTACATGCAGTTAAAAAGTTTGCGGTTAGAAAAAAGCCCGATTCGTATAAATATTACTTGACCATTTAATCAGCAGTACTGTGATAGTATACCTATAGTAAGTTTTATTAAATACTTATAATCGTCGCCGATTTTATAAAATACAAAAAAAAAAAATTCTAATCACATCTGCCGCTTCCCTTCTCCTTATCTCGACCTAACAGTACCATAATGAAGTTTCCGAATTCGAATGCATATACGCCTTATTCAAGTATACGCGCTTACGCTTGCAACTTACAGGTTTACACTTACTCATTAAGAGAAAAGAAAATGTATTTTACCGTTTCCGATTCCAAATAATTTAAATTATAGAAATAAAATTATTCATCGAAATGGATATATATATAGAGTAAAATTCTATTGACGCGCGCTACCACCTATATCACTTTAATCGACTGCTGACTGAGGGAGTCCCAACATAGAAGTGTCTGACTGTTTTTTTCAATAAATATATTGTTTTTACTATTACCTTGCCAAATTTCAGCTATGCGAAAACACTTTTGGTGAAATTATTATTCGACATGGTTATATGCCTATTGACGCGCGCTACCACCTATATCACTTTAATCGACTGCTGACTGGCGGGGTCCCGACATAGAAGTGTCTGACTGTTTTTTTCAATAAATATATTGTTTTTACTATTACCTTGCCAAATTTCAGCCATGCGAAAACACTTTCGGTGACGTCATTTTTTTGACCACTTCAAAGTCGCGCTGACTCTACGTGTCCCCGTATTTCTTTGTCTGACTGTTAAATTATGGTTCTACATTATATTCGCATGCTCTTTGCAAATTTTCAGCTTTGCGAAAACTGTTGCGAGGTGTTGATTAAAAATACACCTTTGCGCGCATCTCAGCGCCAGGTGTCCCGGAACTGGAACTGCTGACTGTAGCCTAGCTTTGTAGCACTAAAATACTACTCATTCTGAAAATATGAGCCTTGCGAAAACTCTTGCATATTTTCGACGCCAGCTCCTGGACTATTACATTCTTTGAACATTCCTGTGCCTGATCCTGAGTTTATTTATTTGGTGGTTCACTTTACAAGAATAATGCCCACAAGCTGCCTTAAAAAGGATGATGTAAAATTTTAATCTTAGGCGACTTTTGATCCAGAGGGTAAACATTAATTTTCTTCAACCAAAGCCAAATTCACCATCGAAAAAAACTGAATTTAATTCAGCTAATAGATACGTTAACACAAAATTTAATAGATACCTATTTAATAATTCAGAGGCGGTACGGCGGTACGAAGTTCGCCGGGTCAGCTAGTTAAGGAATAAAGTCCAAAACAAGACATATGTTCGCTTCATAATAATTGCTCTTAATATCACTATATCACTCACTGAGAT